TGTAGAATTGTAGTATTTTTTTTCTTCTGTAAAATTTTTGAAATTCTTTTTTTTTTTATTTTAGCTTATAAAGTATTGCCTATTAGAAGTTTGGTTTATGCTGAAAGCATTCTTGCTTCCAACATGTTTTCTATAATTGGGGCTTGAAAATTATCTTTTTCATATGATAGCTAGTAGATATAATACTAGAGAAAAAAAAAAGAACCAAAATTCAAGTTAAAGATATAGTAAATTTTCTACAAGAAGCCTTACAGCTGCCTCACCTTCTGATTACAGTATCCCAAATAACTGAATTCTTTGCAAGAGCATCAATAACAAAAAAAGAGATATTTTATAGAAACTCTTACATAGAGCACTTTCTCTGGGATACAGACTACATGTATTACCAATAGAATCAGGATCATGTTCCTGGTGTGAGAACATTCTGCAAATACCAGAACACTTCACTACAGATTGTAGAATTAGCAAAACAATTTGAACAGAGACATATACTGTAAATTCCTCAAAATACAACATGCCCCCAAAATCCCTACCACTATTACAAACATGTTATCACAAGACAATGGCTAAACACAGTAACAGTATATGAAATTTGGTGCTGGTATACCAGTATCAAATGGGAAGAAAAATAATAGACCAGAAGCATCCATCCCAGCGATCATTAATAGTCGGGTTGAGAGAAAAATTAAGGCTTTTAACCTTAACTCCCTAAATAATCATATAAATAGAAAAATATGTAAATACTTACACTGTAAATAGTTTATTTATTAATTAAGATAATAAAATACACCACACGCGTCCCGAAGGCTATAAATAGCACGGGGAATTTAAAAAAAAAAAAAAACTTATAAAAAGAATTAAATACCCAAAATATATTATTAATATATTGAATATAATTTTATAAACTCATATTAAAGGCAATAGAACTAGTAAAAATATAACTAATAAAGATTATAACATTGCTATAAAGCTTTTATACAAGCATTTTAATAAAAAAACAAAAAAATTAATATTACAATATAATAAAATTTAAATATAATATACTTTATTATTTCAGGTCTTATTTACATTTTCAAAAAATGTTGATTACTAAAAAATAATTAATTATAAGACTAGAAGTTTTCAACTTCTCTACCAAAGATTCCATATATTCAATAAATTTATTGTGAATTTATATAGTGAATATTCGACATCGGATCAGACCTTTATTATTAAATGCATGCATACTTATTTAATGAATCTGTGGTTTTTGGTTTGAAATAATTAACGAAATGGGATATATATTCGGGATATGGTAATGAACTTAAATTTAGTTCCCCAACCCAACCTAACCGTAATTTAAAAAAAAACTTGGTCGCAATCCTAGTGCTATTTTAGTAAATAATCGAGGTGAAATATTCATAGCCATTAACTCTTGGAACAGTAATTTACAAGCGTATGGAATATGTACTTGTGATATCTGAAAACACAAAAAATCAACGAGTTGTTGGTTAGCATTAATACGAAATAAGTTATAGGTAGTTATTGTAGGGGTCTGGCGTACAATTCCGTGCCAATAAATAAATGAAAAGCACGAACTCTTACATAAGATCCGCACAATAATAATGATAAACAAGTGAGACAGACCTGTGTAGTATTTTTACAAGCTTTACATTCAAAAGTATTCTTCTTAAGGTTTGCTATGGCCATTAGTCCGCATATATCACAAACATGAATGCGATATGCATCTGACGCATCGAATAATCGTTCCTATAAAAAGCAGTTATTAACTTATAATGAGTAGAAAAGGCAGTATATGAACATATAAACATATTGATACCTTCAAAAACATGGCTACACCATGAGAAATCATACAATCACGTTCCATTTCGCCGAAACGTAATCCACCATCACGACTGCGGCCTTCCACTGGCTGACGTGTGAGAATTTGCACGGGACCTCTAGCACGAGAACTAATGGAATGACAAATAATAAGTAAACGGGATCTTCCAAAAAAAGGATTGATTAATGATAGAGCAAGAAATATATTTACTGAATTTTATCATCCACCATATGTTTCAACCGTTGATAATATGTTGGTCCTAAGAAAACTTGCGCGGCTAACTTCCGTCCTGTATGGCCATTATACATTACTTCAAATCCTCGAGAATGGTAGCCATTTTGTCGTAAGCTGTGCGAAATAGCTTCAACCGTCACATCAGTGAACGGCGTGGCATCGCCTTCTTGGCCAGTGAGAGTTGAAACCTAGAAGCAATTCAAGTTCGAGTATAACTCAAGGCGAGATATATGAACTAAGATTATTAGCAAATTTACCTTTCCTAATAAACATTCGACCAAATGACCGATTGTCATACGACTCGGTATGGCATGTGGATTAATAATAAGGTCTGGCGTAATCCCTTCAGAAGTAAATGGCATATCTTCTTGCCGATAAGTAATTCCAATAGTGCCTTTCTGCCCATGTCGACTAGCGAATTTATCTATTATAATATTGTGAGTAATATCATATGAATAAAACTCTAGGAGTCGTGTGAAACTCACCACCCATCTGTGGAATTCTTGTACTCCGAACTCTTACTTTAACGAATTTCATTCCCTCAGCATTTGTCGTTACCATCACTTGATCGACGATACCGTTTACTTATTATTTGTCATTCCATTAGTTCTCGTGCTAGAGGTCCCGTGC